TTCTTCCTGTTGTGCCAACAACCTTTTCTGCTGCTCTTGTAACTGTTTATACGCTCTCCTTGAAGAAGACATTGTAAGAACTCAAGATTTGAAAATGATAAAGAAGAATTCTGAGCTAAAAAAAAAGGATTGAGTTTAGTGTGAGGATGGATGTAGGGATGTAGGGTTTATATGGACAAAAAAAAAGAAAATGAAGTTATGGACAATGCCACGTGGCGTGATTGGTTGAAAATCTTAGCGGAAATCTATTCAAAAAATAGTACGTTCGGATAATGACACGTGGCGTGACGAGATTGGTTAAAAATCTTATCGAAATCTTGCCTAAATTATTGTAAACAGGAAGTAACACGTGGGTTGTCAGGATTGGTTGAAAATCTTAGCGGAAATCTATTCAAAAAATAGTACGTTCGGATAATGACACGTGGTGTGACGAGATTGGTTAAAAATCCTATCCGAAATTAAAACTATTTTTTTTTATTATTTTATAAAAAATTATTTAATATTTTAAATGGACTGGGTGCCAGCGCATTTTTTAGAGGTGGAGATCGTTTGTGCCAGCGCATTTTTAGACTAGGTGCCAGCACATTTTTTTTGGGGTGGAGATGCTTTGGCCTATTACTGTTCATTGAGTCTATTACTGTTCAATTAAGTGGATAAATGGGCTGGGTGCTGGCGCAAAGTGGATTGGGTGGAGTTGCTCTAACTGCTTGACAAGCTTCTCGACTTCATCCCTCTTCACATCATTACTAATCTCCATCCCAATGCCCCATTCATTGCAAGTATAGTGGCAGTTCATTTGCTGGTCGCAAAAGTAGGGCCAACAGAGCATAGGCACTCCTGCAGTCAGGCTCTCAATTGTTGAATTCCAACCGCTGTGAGTTAAAAATCCTCCTACCGATGGGTGGTTCAGGACTTGCTCTTATGGGCACCAACTTGCTATTATACTTCTTTCTTTTATTTCGGCAACAAACTCAGGCTGCAGAATTGCGGATTCACCAACTACAAGATCAGGCCTAATTACCCAAAAAAAGGGCAATTTACTATTTGCAAGTCCCCAACCAAACTCGACAAGATCTTCAGGCTTCATGACTGCTACACTGCCAAAATTTACATACATGACAGAATCTGGCGCCTTAGCATTTAGCCACTCAAGGCATTCAGTTTCTTCTTTCCACAGACTGTATCCAATATTCAATGGGTGTTATGGTATCTGGTTGAGATGCAATTGAAGAGGGCCAATGGGATAAACAAGTGGAAGCATAGATGAGAGCGCATCCAACACATCTGTCTCCAAGGCATCAAAAGTATGAATAACAATTGCTGAAGCTTCATGAGCTCGATCCGTTCCTTCCATCTTGAAGTTAAATGCGATGTCATCGGGATTTGTGGTTCGAAACAAGGTCGGGAGATCCTTTAGACGGATATCTTTCATTCCTGGAATCCAGTCTACAACTCTTTCTAGATATCCATTTGTCAAACAGCTCTCATCTACAACAAGAAAATTTCATTTGCATGTTTAGAAAATAAGCAAGAGTTAACCACAAATTAAGCAATTGCTTCGACATTTATATATATATATATATATATTTCACCTTTGAGTGGTGCAAGTCCTTTTTGAACCAAAGTGCGAAATTGCAAAAAGCCCATAAAAGCTCACGCTGCAAAAGTGTAGAGCAGAACTGAAGGGACTCCAATCTCTTGTGCAGCTGTGATTGTGAATGGGGACATGAAACCATCTGAAACTATGGAAGTCACTGGTGGATTGTTGGATGTTGATATGGCATCATTGTTGAGTTTATTGAGGAGGCCACGAAAGGGGGCCAAGAAATACTGCTTTCTGATAGAGTCAGCAAGCAAAATGAGATCTTGGGTGGTATCTTCATTTGAATCTGGAAGGCCATCTGGGACGGCTTCGAACCGGAAATCAGGCAAGCCATCTAGGGAGTCAGGTCCTAGAGATTTAAGAAACCGCTTGTGATTGAACTCCGTGTTGACAAAGGTAATATGAAAACCGCTACTGTGCAGGAGTTTTGCGAATTTAAGCATTGCCTTGATATGGCTTTGAGTCGGAATTGGAATGCAGACAGCGTGAGGCTTAGTAACTACTGCTGTGGCATCCATTTTAGATAATGTGTCTGCATTGCAGTGCAGTGCAGATTATTTATAGTACTGCTGTGCTAGTAGTGAGCTACTTTTCAACATATATGTGGTTCAAGTTGAATGGTAGATTTTCAACATATATGTGGTTCAAGTTGAATGATAAACACTCTTTTTCTCCTTCTGCACATCTTGTTAAATCATTTTTGTTGTTTTGTTTGATTTATTCAACGTGATGACAAAAAATAAATAGGAGTATGTGAGAGACTAAAAATGGTGTGAAAATCAACTCTCATTGCTAAAACTTTTTGTAATCATCTTAATTTTCATTGGTTATATGTGAATTAGTTCTTCAAGTACTTAGGGAGCGGTTGTTGCTCTGAAGAGAGCCAGCTAACATTGTATTCCATTGCCAGCAGTAAACCTATTTCTTCTTAACCCTTCTCTAAGCACTGGTGACTAGGCCCGTTCGGTCAATTTCCGCAAGTAGTTGGCCTGTTTTCATGGTTTTTGGCTTTTTATTATTTTTCATTCTTCTAAATTTTATTGTTTTTAGTTTCTCCTACTACTAGTTTGCTTATATACTTTCTCTAAGCTTCAAAACCACGAAGTGGCATAATATTGTTGCTTCTTTATTTTCATATTCAAGAACTTCATTCAAGGTCTTTTGCTAGAAGTTGTGTTAGCTATATCGAACTATTTGAAATGTTTTCATAGATTATGTATACTAAAACTCAGTTTCAGTTACTGTTCATTAATAGTAAAATGGCAAAATTGCCCTTAAAAATTTTCATCTGTTCATTATCTTTCCTGCTTTCCACAGTTAAATGACGGTTGTGCCCTTCACTTCCATGCGTCTCTCATCGCTGCTTTCTGTTTTCTCTTCGTTTTTCAATTCCTTTTGACTGCTTTCAATCGATTTTTTTCCCCATTACATTTGGTTCTCTTCTTTTCCACTCGTCTGCTCTCTCTTCCTCTCTCTTCAAGATTTAGCTATTTTCCTCTATTGTCTGCTCTCTCTTCCTCTCTCTTCCGGATTTAGTTGTTTTCCCCTATTTTGTATCTTTTGGCTGATTTTGTGACTTATTTGGTTTTCTTGCCACATGGGATTTCAATATTTTTTTTTTCTTGGTTTATGTGTGGTTCTCTGATGTGTTTTGATTTTTTATTTCAGAAAAAGTTAAGGATACGATCAAACGTTTACTAGTGAGTTTTCTATTTTTCTGATTGTGTGTGATTTAATTTTTTTCAAGCACTGGCTGTACTTTCTGATGTGCTTTGATTTTTAGTTGCAACAAAAGTTGTTGCTCGAATTTCCAGTTTTTCTCTAAGGCTTTGCAAGCTCGTTATCATCAAGGTATATATATTTTTTTCTTTTTCCTGAATATTTTGTTGCTGTATTTTTTTTTTTTTTTTTTTTGGCGGAGGGACTATGTTTTTGCTTGCATATGAGTTTTTTGTGGCTTTTGTTTGGTTATTTCAGTTTTGACCATTTGCATATAGTTTTTCTCAATAAATGATAAAAGAAAGAGCGTATCATGACTACCTTGCTTCTGTTGGGTTACTAAATTTAGATGCATTGGTAAGGCAAAAAAATCTAAAAAAATGTGAGTTAAACCCCATGTGGCACGACAAGTCTATCTTTTAGTCCAGAAAAAGATAAAATAATGATAAAAAAATTGGTGGAAGGACAAAAAAATATTAAAAAAGATGATAAAGCAACTTATGGCAGGGCCAAAAAAATATTTAAAAAAAATGTAATAAAGCAACTGATGGTAAGGCAAAAAAATCTTGAAAAATGTGAGTTAAACCCGGGCACGACAAGTCTTTCGTAAGGCAAAAAAAATATTAAAAAATGTGAGTTAAACCCCGGGCACGACAAGTCTTTCGTAAGGCAACGGCGTGGCACGACAAGTCTTTCTTTTAGTCAGAAAAAGATAAAATAATAAATAAAAAATTGGTGGCAGGACCACAAAAAATATTTTAAAATGTTCAACAATGGAAGGCTCGCCGCGGTCTTAGTCTGTCACAACCGGTTTTGTAGTTCGAAAAACCGTCTGATGTAATTTCTGATCTTATTTTGAAAGATATTTCTAATGCTTAATTTTGTTTGGTGTGAGACTATTTTCCCCTTCATTCAGGTTTTTTTGGAAATTTATTTTATCAAGGCCCATTGTTATTGTTAGCATCTTTTCCATTGATTGTACGTGAATATCGTACTCGTTTTTAAAAAAAAAAAAAAAAAACAATGTGATAAAGCAAAGTATGTTTGTAAGCTCTCTCTTTTCTTTCCTGCACGTTTACTGTCTTATTTCCCTTTCTTTCTGCTTTCTGCTTCTGCTTTTTCTCCTATTTTTTTTTTCATTTTTAGCTTCCTTTTTTTTTTTCTTTTTTTTTTTTCTGTTGATCAATGCTGTTTTTTCTACAGCTTCAACCAAAAAACTTTTGCTCGTGTTAAAGAATGTTGGCATGTGTTATCCAAATCAAATAAGTATTGATTTATATTTTTTTGTGTGTAAATCGTTGATCCTAACATGAATTCCTTATTCTTTTCGAATATATAAACAATAAGCTCTTTAGGATCACTGTCAAGGGAGAATACTAGGTTAACCATTTTTGTATACTGATGATAAGGCATTTGATAATGTCTATTTTGTAAATTATATTAACTTAGACAGCTTTGTAAAAATATTTGTTTCATTTTCTGTTTAGTATTTATAACACTCTTTGCATATTTATATGTTAAAAGCATAATCTATAGTCATATTTTCGCTCCCGCAACAACGTGCAGGTAAAATTTACTAGTGTGTGTGTGTGTGTGTGAGCAACAATGCGCTAGTTCTTCTATTCGTGTTGATATTTTTGGACTTTTAATCAAAATTTTCTATGACAAATAAGATCAATTTAATTAAAAACAGTAACTAAATAAAACTGAAGATGTAGTAGCAGGCCAAACATGTTGCTAGTTCTTTTGAACCGATAACTGTGAGGCATGCAATACATGTCTCTCATTAGTTCCAATGCACAGCATCTAGATTTTTTTAAACTGAATTTGATTCACTAATTTTTCGAAGTTTGCAGATGAAGAACCCTGTGGACCAGTGGCTTCCTCTGCCAATTTTTTCCACTCCATGGCCTTATTCTTCATTCGCGTACCCTTCTCTCCCTCCATTAACTCTCTAACAAGCTTCTCAACATCATCTCTCTTGACAACATTATTGATCTCCATACCAATGCCCCATCTTTTGCAAGTACAGTGACAGTTCGTCGGCTGATCAGCAAAGAACGGCCAACACAGCATAGGCACTCCTGCAGACACACTTTCCAGCGTAGAATTCCAACCACTGTGTGTCAAAAATCCTCCAACTGATGGATGGTTAAGGACTAGCTCTTGAGGGCACCAACTCGCTATTAGACTTCTCCCCTTAGTTTCATCCACAAACTCGGGTGGCAAAATTGCTGATTTACCAACTACCAAGTCAGGCCTAATTACCCAGAAGAAAGAAACCTTGCTATTTGCAAGTCCACAACCAAATTCCACAAGTTGTTCCGGGGTCATGACCATTATGCTGCCGAAATTCACATAAACAACTGAGTTTGGTGCCTTATCGTTCAGCCATTCAAGGCACTCGGTTTCTTCTCTCCATAGGCTATATCCCAGGGACTTCAAACGGTGTTGTGGTATCTGATTGAGAAGTAACTGGAAAGGGCCAACGGCGTAAACAGGTGGAGACATAGCTGAGAGAGCATCCAAAACATCTAGCTCCAATGCATCAAAGGTATGTATAACAATTGCTGAAGCTTCATTTAGTCTGCCCATTCCTTCAAGTATGAAATTCCAGATTGCATCATTGGGATTTGTTGTTACAAAGTTGTTAGGAAGATCCCTTAAACGAATACTTTCCATTCCTGGTATCCAATCTACCTCTTGGTCTAAAAAGCCATTCGTGAGCCACCTCTCATCTACAAACAGCCAAGTAATGCTTTATTAATAAAAAGTATCTTCATTTGCTTGATTAACAAATACAAACTCTCTCATGGCCAATGCAACAATTGTCGTTCATGAACTTTGAAATTAGGACGTCCCCAACAAATTCGAAATTGGGTGCTACTAGATTAATTGGCCATTAGCAAAACCACTGTTGATTAATAAAATAAAATAGAACTAATAACCAAATTGTGAAACTGTTATTAGCACTTCAAAAAGTAATCACACCTTTTTTCTCCTGTTTATTTTTTTTGGGTAATTACTTATGCTAATTACCACTTTTTCTCACACTGAGTTGGTTGAATAAATCAAAAGCATTATCAAGTAACAAAAATAAGCATGGTGAAATTATTTCCCTTATTTTTTCACTAGGAAGGAGTGTAAGAGAATTTTTGTAGATTGAATAATGGTTTCCTAAATTTGACCAAAAAAAATAAATATTAATTTCCTAAAATCAAACAATTGCTTTAATTCTTTACCTTTGAGGGGTGCTAGTCCTCTTTCCACCAAAGCAGGATACTGCATATAGCCCATGGTGCCGCTTGCTGAAAAAGTAAACACGAGTGTGACGGGGATGCCAAATTGTTGAGCTGCAGGGGTTGTGAATGGCATGAAACCATCTGAAAAAATGCATGTCACTGGAGGAGTACTACTACTACTGTTGAGTTTCTTTATCAGATCAACAAAAGGTGCCAAGAAGTTGTTTGTGACTGAATCTGCAAGCAAACTGAGGTCTTGGGTGGCATCTTCATCCGAATCCGGTAGGCCATCTGGGATCGTTTCAAACCGAAAATCATCAGGCAAGCCATAGAGGGACTCGGGTCCTAGAGATTTAACTAACCGCCTGTGATTGAACTCGGTGTTGACATAGGTTATACGAAAACCTTTATGGTGGAGGAGTTTTGCTAATTGAAGCATTGCCTTTATGTGACCTTGAATCGGAACTGGAATACAGACAGCATGAGGCTTGTTAGAACACATCTCAGATTTGTGGATCTCAGAGCGTATGCTTACTGTATGAGGGTATTTTAACATCAAACGTGTATGGATCTATAAATTTTTGGTCTGTCTTGAGACAATGCGTGGTGCAAACTTAAGAAAAAGTCAAGGGCCGGATGTCAATAATTTTGGCAGTGCGATGAAATTCACAGGGTGAAGACAAAGCTAAATTAAAAGGAGATGTAACGAAAAGTTCGCGATATTGTTTATTTTAACGAAAAATCACACTTTTACACTAAAAAGTTAATTCTGGTACTATTCATTTTACCTTTTATTTTGTCATTATCGTTAAAACTTAAAGTTTTCAAATTATTTTTATTAATTTTTCTTAAATTAAAAGAATAAACTAAAATTGTCAATAATTTTAGAGGAGAAGAGAGTTTCGAATTCGAAATGCATGTGTGGAGACCTAACATCTTATCTACTAGGATATTAGACTAACTACATTATCATGAGACATAACAATTTTTATGTTGCTCATAATTTTACAGGCTTGGAAGCTTTTGCCCATGTCTCCCCTATTTTCTATGCATTTTAGGACAGCATTTGTAGATAACTCAGTAGCTTATAATTGCACAAGCCAAAAGAGTGAGGGTAAGTATTGAATCATAATTAAGTTGTCGTTTGGGTTAAGCCCAAATGGTGAAGTTGAGTGAGACGTGAACGTTCGGCTAATTAATCACATTCCACTTCGACATGTGATGCAAATTAAGCATTTTCCATCATTTCATTGTTGTCACAAACCCTAGTGATCTACCTAAGATCACATATCTTGATCTACCTAAGATCACATATCTTGATCAAATGTCAAAATATGACTTAAACAACCACTAATTAGATCCTTAAACCCCCAATCAAGATAGCTATAGTACGTACTTTCAAGTATTACTTCAACATGTGAGATTTTCAATTGATTAACTAGTTTGGCAGTCATGTGCATTCAACTTTGACCTAATCTTGTCACACTCAAACCTAATTAATTATGGTCTAATCATACAATCCTAAGTATTTCCTGGTAACGTGATAGCATCCAAATATTGGAGTTAGATACAATCCAAATTTAGCAAGCCTGGTTTGGTACTGAGGTGATTTTGAAAAAAGTTGGTATCAAAAAAAGCTGGAAGCTGTTTTTGTGTTTGGTAAACATTCACCTTCAGCTTTTTTTCACAGTTTTGGGTGAAAAAAAAGCTAAAAACAAGAAGCTGCAAAACCCAGCTTTGAAAAACTGGTTTTTTTTCCATATCTATTTTACATAAAAGTTTACCAAACACTATAATACTGCTTTTTTTTTTTTTTTTTTTTCAAAAGCACTTTTACAAAAAAGTTTACCAAACACTCAGCTGCTTATTCTCACAGCACAGCAGAATCAGTTTTTTTTTCAAAGCACAACAATACCAAACCAGCCCCTAATCCGACAAGCTAATATGGTGCTATACACTATTTTAATAATTTGTTAAAAAAAAAGGTTTAATCAATTAAATTGTGCAATTAACTTATTCAGATTTTTTTTTTCACGACCTCTGAGTGGTGCAATACCCTTTTCCACCAAAGTAGGGTATTGTTTATAGCCCATGAAACTGCTTGCAGAATGGTAAAGAAGAGTACCAAAGGGAGTCCAAATTCTTCAGCAGCAGTGATTGTAAATGGCATGAAACCATCTGAGAAAATGCAAGTCACTGGAGGACTAACATTATTGATCGAAATCACCGCGTCATTGAGTTTTATGAGGAGGTCTCAAAACGGAGGCAAAAGGTTTTTGCTGATGGCGTCCGATGCTAAAGAGACGTCTTGGGTGGCATCTTGGTTGGAGTCTGGTGGAAGGCCGTCTGGAATGGTTTCGAATCAAAAATCAGGCAAGCCATCGAGGGAGTTGGGTCCGAGGCATTTTAGAAAGCGGTTGTGGTTGAACTCTGTGTTGACAAAGGTTATATGAAAACCTCTATGGTGGAGTAGCTTTGAAAATTTAAGCATTGCCTTTATGGCTTTGAGCTGGTGCTGGAATACAAACAGCATGCCTTGGAATCCATCATAGATTGTGCTTATGCGTTTGTGCTTGCACTAAGCACAAATATATATAATATATGTATATATGTGCAGATTAGTACTGTTCCGAAAAGTAGACACAACTAAAGTCAAATTGAATACGTGCTCCTTTAAGACTTGCAGGTTACGCAAAAATTAATCTTGGGCGACAAGATAATTGACTAATTGTCTTTTGTTTCATGACGAAGGCATTCAGTGCAATCAAATTAGGCACCTTAAGGGTGTGTTTGTTTCATATCTCATTTTTAAGAAATTTCAATGTTATACTTCATCTAAGAATTTTTTACATTTTCATACCTTTTGTCAGTTTTTTATCAATTTTTCCATTAAATAATAACGTGATTTGTGACAGAACCCATTTTCTATTAAAAATTAATAAATTAATTAAATATTAAAAAACTAAAAAAAATCATTTTTAATATTTTTTTTTGCATGGCGGACCCACCCCTCACCCTTTCTTCCCCCTCTCGTCTTCACCAAACCCAAAATCATCCAGATACCATCCCAAACCCAGATCCCACTCCCTGCTATCGTTCTCCGCCACATCCCTCAATGCCCACTCCTCCCTCAACGCACCCACTCCTCCCTCACATCCCTTAGCGCACCCACTCCTCCCTCACCTCCCTCTACGCCCTTTCTCCGCTGCCACTTTCCGCCATATCCAACAAATCCGCCAAAATCCTTACCCCGGAAACCCTCTGAAACGCTTCCTCGCTTTCCTTGTACCCGACCACCTGCACAATCACCGTCGTGGTGTCTTTCGTGTTGTACTGAAGCAAAGAGATTTGAGGGTTTTGAGGGGCAGAGGAAGAGGGCAGAAGTGGTAGTGGAGCAGAAAGAGGGCTGATTGACCCGATTTGGTGAAGGCAGAGTCGGAATCAGATAGGAAGTCGGTTGATGGCGGTGTGGAGGGAGGGAGGGAGTCGAGCGATGGCGTGGCATGGGTAAGGCGGGTGAGTGATAGCTGAAGTTGGTCAGCAAAGTCGGAGAAGGGCGGGGGAGGACGAAGAGAGTGGCGGTAGTGATCGGCACAGAGGGTACGGGATGGGTGGGATCTGGGTTTGGGGAAGATGAGATGGGTAGGTTTTGGGTTTGGAGAAGACGGGATGGGTGGGATTTGGGTTTGGGTGGGATAAGGGTGGGTCCCCTATGAAAAAAAAAATAAAAAATGATTTTTTTTTTATTTTAGTTTTTAAATATTTAATTAATTTCAAATTACGTCACTATTTAACAGAAAACTAACGGAATGTATGAAATTGTAAAAAAATTATAGATGAGGCATGACATTAAAATTTTTTTTAAAATGAGGTATGAAACTGTAACTGATCCAATAGTTAAAGTAGTTTTATGTAATTTATCATAAATAAAATTAGCCATAGTAGCCAGTAGAAAGTTGTTAACTTTTAATTTGAATTGAGAAATGTCAAAGACTACAAGACAAGGTTTTGAAGATCCACATTCAACGAGAAATTTTTTAGTGTAATTGCTACACAAAATAGTACATTATATGTTACTATATAAATGGTGAGATACGTGTGTTAAAAAATTAATAACTTAAAAAATAATTTTTTTACCACTTATATAAAAATACATAATGTACCATTCGTATTCTGATCACAGTAAAAATTCTCTCCACATTCCACATCGGTACGAGGTAAAATTTATATTTATCTAATTGATATGACAACCAATGGATTTCAAAGTTTACTTTTATTAAAAAGAGAGAGAGAAAGCAAGGGGAGAAATAATTGAGGCTTATTCTGTCATTTTGTGGAGATATTTTTCAGTTTCAGTATGCGTGCGTTACATCGTAGTGCATATATGCCTAACAATGCGCGTATTATTTGATGACTATATGAGAGTCGAGTAGAAGCGTGGGTGTAAGTGAAACCTTAACAAGTGTTATAAATAACTTATTGTATAGTATTAAAACACAGTTATATAATATGATAATTTTTAATAATTATTTCGTGTCATATTCATGTAATAAATAGCTCTATATCACAGTCTTCTAAAATATTACGACCCCGTCTATCAGACCTCGTTTATTATATTGCATTTTATTTCGAAGCTGTATAATTAATAAATAGCCCTTATAATACATTTTGCGGCCTTGTCTATAATTTTTTTTCTTTTTGTTGTTTTTTTTCCTCTTCTGTATTGCTAAAATATTTTTTTAGCATCTGAGTTTTCTCTGCAAATGATTGTAATTAAGCATTCAATTCTAATTTTAATTTTATTATTTGAGATAATGGTCCTTTATATTTGCACTTCATCATTCTAGTTCTGAAGGCCAACAACAACAAAACAATAACCAAAAAAAAAAAAAAAAAAAACCAATTATTAACAATAAATTTTGCACGGATGCGTGGCATCTAACTTTATCTTAGTAACACTTGATTCACTAAATTGTCTAAGTTTTTTGATGAAGATCCATGTGGACTGGTAGCTTCTTCTGCATGTTCTTTCCACTCCACCACTCTATTTTTCATCTTCTTACCCTTCTCCCCATCCATTAATTCTCTAACAAGCTTCTCTACTTCATCCCTCTTCACATCATTACTAATTTCCATGCCAATGCCCCATTCGTTGCAACTATAGCGGCAGTCCATCTGCTGGTCGAAGAAGAATGGCCAACAGAGCATAGGCACTCCTGCGGTGAGGCTCTCAATAGTTGAATTCCAACCACTGTGTGTCAAAAAACCTCCCACTGATGGATGGTTGAGGACTTGCTCCTGTGGGCACCAACTTGCCATTAGACTTCTTTCCTTTGTTTCAGCCACAAACTCAGGTGGCAAAATATCGGATTCACCATTAACAAGATCAGGCCTAATTACCCAGAAGAAGGGCAACTTGCTGTTTGCAAGTCCCCAACAAAACTCCACAAGTTGTTCAGACGTCGTGACTATTACGCTGCCGAAATTCACATACACAACTGAGTTTGGCTCCCTAGTGTTTAGCCATTGGAGGCACTCAGTTTCTTCTTTCCATAGACTGTATCCAATATTCAAGGGGTGTTCTGGTATCTGATCAAGATGTAATTGAAGAGGGCCAATGGGATACACAAGTGGAAGCATAGATGAGAGAGCATCCAAAACATCTCGCTCCAAGGCGTCAAAAGTATGAAGAACCACTGCTGAAGCTTCACGGACTCTATCGGTTGATTCCATCATGAAGTTAAACATTATGTCATCGGGATTTGTTGTTCGAATGAAGGTTGGGAGATCCTTTAAACGAATATCCTTCATTCCTGGAATCCAATCTATGACCTTGTCCAAATAGCCATTTGTCAAATAGCTCTCCTCTACAAAAAAAAAAAAAACAGAATTTTCATTTGCATGTTTAGAAACAAGGAATTAAGAGCGAACCATAAATTCAATAAAGCTTCAGTAGTTCTGTATATAATATATTTCACCTTTGAGTGGTGCCAGGCCATTTTCGATCAAAGCACGACATTGTAGAAGTCCCATGAAGCTGCTGGCAGCAATAGTGTAGAACAGTACTATAGGGACTCCAATTTCTTCAGCAGCTGTGATCGTGGATGTGGACATGAAACCATCCGAAACTATGCAAGTCACTGGAGGATTGTTGGACGTTGTTATGGCATCGTTGTTGAGCGCATTGAGGAGGTCATGAAACGGAGCCAAGAAATTTTGTTTTCTTATGGTATCAACAAGCAAAGTGAGATCCTGTGTGGTATCTCCATCTGAATCTGAGAGGCCATCTGGGATGGCTGCAAACCGAAAATCAGGTAAGCCATCAAGGGAATGGGAGCCTAAAGATTTTAGAAAGCGCCTGTGGTTGTACTTGGAGTTGACGAAGGTAATATGAAAACCTCTATGGTGGAGGAGCTTTGCAAATTTAAGCATTGCCTTGATATGGCTTTGAGTCGGAATTGGAATGCAAACAGCATGAGGCTTAGTAGCTACTGCTGTGGAATCCATTTTAGGTTTTGCGTTTGCATTGCAGCGGTTGCAGTAATGCAGACTATTTATGATGCTAACTAAGCTACTTTTCAACATCTACTGTTTTGTCTTCTTGTGCAGACAGGTAAATTTAAAGAGATATGAAAGAAAATAGGCAAGGTTTTGAAAAAGTTTTAACGAAAAGCTCACGGTCCTGTTCATTTTAATGAAAAATCATATTTTTACATTAAAAGTCAATCCTGATATTATTCACTTTACCCTTTATTTTATCTTTATTATTAAAACTCAAAATTTTCAAACTCTTTTCATTAATTTTCCTTTTGAAAAAATCTTTTTGCAGATTGACTTAATCGTAGATTTTGACAGAAAGTGAAAAAAAATTGAATCTTTCATTCATTGATTAGAATCATACATCGAGAGAGTATTTATACATACATCAAACGAGTGTTGACTCAGCACTTTAACTTAGCAATAGCTGGTCACAAAATTAAGGCCTGGTTTGTTAATGAGGTGATTTTTAAAAAAACTGGTATAAAAAAAAGCTGTGAGCTGTTTTTTTGTTTGGTAAACATTTAGCTTCAGCTTTTTTTCATAGTTTTGGGTGAAAAATAGCCAAAAACAAGAAGCTGCAAAACCAAGCTTTGAAAAACCGGCTTTTTTTCACATCTGTTTTACATAAAAGTTTACTAAACACTATAATACTGTTTTTTTTTTCAAAAGCACTTTTACAAAAATGTTTACCAAACACTCTGTTGCTTTATTTCACAGCTGCTTAATCTCACAGCACAGCAGAAACAGTTTTTTTTTCAAAACACAGCAATACTAAATCAGCCCTAACTCTAATAATACTAACTAGCTACCAGTAGTAATCTGATGTAGGTGATGTTCATGATTAGTTTGTGAACCTGCAGTACTTGTATCAGATTTGGTCCCCAACGAATATCCGTGCAATGAAAAAATTCAATTGAGAAAGACACAACGGCAACTATTTGATCGCAACTTCACGGGCCCCTTATTTGATAGAGAAAGAGAAATGCTTTACAATAGTGTAAGGATTAAGAAATCTACAGGGAAGATGATTTACAATAATTAGTGGAATCGGACTTCGTGGCTTCTTCTATTCTTCTGTCATTTTGTTTTATATTGCTGAAATAATACTTTACCATCTCAATTTTCTTTGGTTATATCCTATATTCACAATGCATTGATTCTTCTATTCTTGTTGATAGTGCTGGAGTTGTTATTCTAAATTTCTATAAAAATTGGATGCTGTATTGTATCTTTCAGTAATTTATTGTAGATCCTAAAACCATGGCAGGAGAAAATCATGTGTGCCACCCGTGAGTATACCCGTGTGTCTGCATCTGTTGTCATGTGACACCGGTGACAGGGTAGAATCTCTCAGCACACATAGCAAATAATGTAACATTAAGTTCAACCTGAAACTAATAACTGGACAAATTTGAAGATGGTGGCTGGCTAAACATGTTGCTAATTCATTAAACCAACAACTTCTATGACTGCTGTGCATGTTTCTTGGTTGTTCTTAAGCAGAACGTCTGGATTTTTCTTAAGTTTGAATTTGATTCCCTAAGTTTTCTAAGTTTGCAGATGAAGAACCATGTGGCATCTGATTGAGAAGTAACTGGAGAGGGCCAATGGCATAAACAGGTGGGGACAAACTTGAGAGGGCATCCAAAACATCTTGCTCCAATGCATCAAAAGGGTGTATAATAATTGCTGAAGCTTCATGAACTCTATTCATTACTTCAAAGATGTTGAAATTTTATCATTGCGATTTGTTTTTACAAAGTCTTTGGGGAGATCCCTCAAACGGATATTTTTCATTCTTGGAATCCAATCTATAACCTTGTCCAAATGGCCATTTGTCAAACAACTCTCATCCACAACAGGAAATTTTTTGTACACATGTTATAAATAAGCAATTCAAAGAGCTAACCATAAAAATCAGTGTGTTCAATAGTTGTATATATTTAGTGTTGAGTGGTGCAAGTCCTTTTTCGTAAAAGCACGAAGTTGAATGAGCTCATGAAGCTGCATGCAGCAATGGTGTAGAACAGTACTATAGGGACTCCAATTTCTTCAGCAGCTGTGATTGTGAATGTGGACAATGAAACCATCTTAAATTATGCGCATCACTGGAGGATTGTTGGATGTTGATGTGGCATCATTGTTGGGAGACAACAAGTTCTGTTTTCCGACATAGTCGGCAAGCAAAGTGAGATCTTGGGTGGTATCTTCATCTTATCTGGAAGGCCGTCTGGGATGGCTTCGCACGAAAATCAGGCAAGCCATCAAGGGAGTTGGGGCCGAGAGATTTAAGAAAGCGCTTGTGGTTGAACTCCGTGTTGACAAAGGTGATATGAAAACCTCTGTGAAGGAGGAGCTTTGCAAATTTCAGCATGGCCTTGATATGGCTTTGAGCTGTAACTGGAATACAAACATCATGAGGCTTGCAGTGGTTGCATAATGCAGAACATTTATAGTCCTAGTGAGAACTTTTCAATATGTTTGTGTGGCAATAGTTGAGATTTCGCAATAAAATCAATTGGCAAATTAGGGAGTAATTCAACTCTTTTTGCGTACATGTAAAGTGTATGACATTTTCGTTTTCTCACACGTTTTCTCATGTGTGGCAAATTTTCAAGAAAGACATGTGGATTACCAAACTTAGTGGTGTGGAATACATGTGGACGTTTGGCTTCACATGTGAGCCAATCTATTCTGATTCCATGAATCACATACAAGATTTCTTAAAATTCATGTTGAGACATTTCTTCACATCCTTACATTCCTATTCTTATCTTCACGCCAGTTGAGGCAGTGAAATATATAATCTTGTTTGAGGAATCTTAAATGAGTGATTCAAGTTGAATAACAAGTCAATTGTATCGTAATAACAAAATAATCAGAAAGTCCTTTGGGTGTGATCATATGCTTGATGTGAAAGACACACAAACTATGTAATATAAGGAATGCTAGAGAAAACTGTTTTGAAGAAAGTCCTTTGGGGCCTTTGATTGCCCAAGGTAGGATTGTATTTGGCTATTTAACACCAATTCCAACTTGAACTAAACATGAGGTTAATTAACGACGGAATTAATTTGAATTACAACTTTTTTTGAGAAATTTGGAAAAATAATCAGAATTTGGACCTCGTATAAAATTATAGTAATGATTTTAATTTTATGTAAGTATAACTCAAAGTTATTATGGAAGTACTAATATACCCTTAAAAGTACTATTACACATAGTTGTCACTTGCAATTACTAGCTATGATCAAAATGAGGAAGAATTATGAGTTCAAAGTGGATAGACCGAATAAGGATCGTTTGGAAGTTAGATATGTAGATGATAATGGCAAGTGATGACTTCGTGCAATATATAAAAGTTTTATTTACATCTTCACTTTCGTAAAAAGCATAAAATAATTTTCACTTAGTATGACGGTCTAATAGTATTCATTTTCACTTGTAAGTGAAAAATTTTATATTCGATTATAGCCGTCAAAAGCGAGTTTGAACCGTATTATTGCTAGCCTATTGCGAGGATAAGCCCACCCCTTTTCCCTAGTATAGATAATATCATTTGTTCAAAAAAAAAAACATAAAATAACTTCAATTATTAGACCCTGGTATATAAAAGGATCCTTTTCTTTGGAATTCTAGGGATTTCGTGATCCGGATCGTTCATCGTACATCGTACGGTCAGAAATTATTTTAAAATTTAAAATTTAAAATTAAATATAAATGATACCTAAAGAAAACTAACTGTCCAATATACGATGAACGACTTCGATCACGAGATCTCTAAGATCCACAAAAAAAAGTACATGGCGAGGGTCCTTTTCCTATAAAAGGTTATTCAATCATGCAGCTACAGCGAATATGGGTCGCCGGATCCTTTTCCTGTATAAGGTTATTCAATCATGCAGCTACAATGAATAGATGGGGTAACATATTAATGTTACGTGTCGGGTGTCCTATATATTGGTCACGATGCACAACCACGCTACCAAACAAGCAGACAAAGATTTGACGTTGGCGGGCCTATCATTTATTAGAGGGTATTTTACAAAACGTTTTTGGTATTGTTTACTTTTAACGAAAATAATATTTTTACTTTGAAAAGTTACTCTTAGTACTATTCACTTACACTTTATTTTATCATTTTCATTAAAGCTAAAGTTTTTTAGGACTTTTCATTAGTTTTTCTTTTATTCTTTTATATGATGCTGAGAATACTGTATACTCATATAGTTTCAAAACTTAGAGTTAGTTTGAGATTGTGGTGCTTTAAAATAATAATAATAATAATAATAATAATAATAATAAATCTGTTTATTAAAAAATTGGAACATTAAATATGTTTGGTAAAATAAAAAAAGAATTGTTTTGAAAAAAAAAAAACTATTGTCGATGACAGTAAAAAAGACATAGGAAAACAAAAGCATGGTCAACCATGCTTCTAAAAAAGTTTTGTTTTTTTTTTTTTTTTTTTAAAAAGCATAACAAACAATGCCTATTTAATGAAATTTGCAAATAACAGGTATACTCCTGCATATTTTACAAAATCACAATAATTGTTCCTTCGTTATTTTATTTGACAATTATTATATCATATTTAGTAGCATATTTTTTAAGTCATTCATATTCAGAGCAAATTTATATAAAATTTTATCAAAACATTATTGACATTGATTTTTTTTTTTTTTGGGTTAAAAGCATTTTTACAAAAAAAAAGGTTTACTAAATACTCAACAATTTTGTTTTACAGTTGCTTATTTACACCACACATAGAAACTTTTTTTTTTTAATTACAACAATACCAAACTAGTCCTTAGAACAATAATAATATGGGTAATTTTGAGATAGTACTAAACTACATACCGACATTTATTTATTTTTAATTACAAACGATATTCAACACTAATGGAAGAAAGAGTTCTAAATTACATAGTCTAGCATCTAGGTTTTTCTTAGTAGAACTTGATTCACCAAATTGTCTAAATTTTTGTATGAAGAACCATTTA